TTAATTGCAATAATACTGTAGTTAATACAAGAATAATTGAACCAATTTGCATAACTCTTCTTCTCTGAGAATGTGAAATAAGTTTTGCTATCTAAGGCTAGATAGCAGTGGAAGTTGCTCCAGTTTTATTGTATTTGACAATCACCTGAGTCACTGTCAGCATAGATGCATGCTCAGGCATGTCCAAAACTCCTTATGGTGATTTTAATGTGCAGCCAATGTCCACAAATACTTAAAACACCAAAAATACTGTTTACAATAACTCTATATATTCCAGCAATAGAAGGTCATTTGCCTTAGTAGTTTTTTCTTTAAACTTCACTAGGAGAATTTTCAATCTCATCCATGATAAACTATTTGTAGAGTTTTTCTAAAATTTGAAAGTACTTCCTTTATGATGTAAAGTCTGATTTTCAAGATGAGGCAGAAGGAAGTAAGTAGAAGATTTGATAAGTAATGCGGTCTATTATACTTATGAGAGCTCTCACACACATGCACACATATATACACATAAGATGTGTCATAAAAGTTATCCTTATATCTCAACATTTAAGTTTCAGGATGCCAGGAAAAGTTGTGACTGCTAGAAAAAGAATGAACATCATCTCAAGATTGATAATTTGACCTTTGAAGTATCAAAATGGGACAGTTTCATATGCTTCATATATTTTGACTGTATAAGGGAAATGATTGCTATGTCATTTTAGAAAGAAGCATGGCTTTGCTGTTGCCTTCATTTAGAAGTTCTATATGCTTAAAGAACCATCAAGCCAACCACAGATAACTGGATTATTTTGAAAATAATTTCCACAAACTTATGTGACAGTTTCGAGTTCTAGTTGGCAAAACTTGTCATTATGTGCAATTTAAAAAAAGGTAGAACATTTGTGGTCTGCAAGCTGTTGGTTAGAGGCAAAGTGCCTTTTCCAGAGGAAAGAACTAGCTTTCTTTTTTTGTGAGTAACACCCTGCTGACCAACAGAGACTGACACACACTGCCCTGAGAAATCAGGAAGAAGCCAGGTACAGCTAAAATCTGCCATAAAGACCAACCTCCTGCCATAGCCCCACTGTAGCAGCTAGACATACCTATTTTTCTAAATTTGTAAACTCGAACTGTTCCAATGCTGGCTGATTTTCTCTGATCATTCAACTTTCCCTTTGACACATTTATTTTAATTGGTCCTTCTGTATTGTTTAATGTTTCAAATTGTATGATAAATTTCTTATTCCATTATGTTTAGTGTTACTTATTAAATCCTGATTGGTACATGATGAGAGTTTTCTGAATGAAATGCTCAGCTGACTACAATGCAGCTAGATATATGTGACATAGAAAGTATTAGTATAGCTGAATATTGCAATGAATTTGGAAAATGTTTTGAGACGGAGAATACATTTCACTGCATTTAATACAAATATGCCACTCAACTTGAAAATAGTTTCCAGTAAAACTTTTCAATTTACTATGTATTAAGTAATAAGATCACACTTCTGAAAGGTTCAGCTTACTATCTTCTAAAAGAGGATTTAATATTAAATATTTATATATTTCCTCTAAAATATTCTTGCTAAATTTGTTTTAAATGTAAAAAAAAAAACTAGTTTCCTAAATATGATATCTAAGTTAAACATGGCTGCATAGTGGGGGAGCCACACTGGAGATACTCAGAGAAAATAAGCTAAAAACAGAGACATTTGGAAGCAACATGCAGCCTGGTGCCAAAATCAATCTGAAATAAGAGACTTGGAGATCAAACAAAACATAGACATAGGACTTCATGAAGTGATCCAGCTCAAGGGGCTGCCTGTGGGTCTCTCTCCTGTGCATGGAGAAGGACTATCTTTTTGGAAGCTTCCAAGAAACTTGTAGACTGAAATATAGCTAACTCAAGCCACACAAGATAGGTTTGGGATATAAGAACCCACATTTGTTTTGCCTTCCTCCAAAACGAGGACACTGCAGCCTGGCAGCAAATTTTGCCACCACACACAGGGGCAACTCACCGGAAAACTGCTCCCTACCTGATGAGTAAGGGACCAAGAAAAAATCCTCAGCTAGAAGATGATGAAAAGAAAAACAACATACGGTTGAATAGAGTCAATGGAAAATCAGGAATCAGTGCAAATTACAACAACAAGAAAATAATCTGCTCACATCAGCAGTGGAAGAAAAATTCCCAAACATAGTAAAAGATTTTGATATACAGATAAGTGAGGCATATAATTATACTATAATTACTTATGATTATAATAAGTCTATACCATGGAAAATAATAATGAAGATTCCAAAAATTCAGCATATGAACAAAATATTAAAAGCTGTTAGAGAAAAGGAACAAATCACCTATTAAGGAAAACCTACCAGAATCAAAGCAGACTTCTTAACACAAACTCATAAGTCAAGGAGAGCTTGGGGTGAAATATTTCAAGTCCTGAAAGAAAACCACATTCAACCCAGACTGATGTACCTGCAGAACTATCTTTCAGAATAAATGAAATTATAAAATACTTCCATAGCAAAGAATGATTGAAGAAATTCATCACCACCAAAGCAGCTCTACAAAATATTCTGAAGGATGCTTTAAAAAGAGATAAAGACCGCAATTCCAAGAACACCAACAGAAAGAAGACAACAGGCAGGACAAGAAATTAAACAAAAGGAGAGCCAGAGAACCAACACTAGAAAAAAAATATGAAAAGCCAATACATATTAAGTATAACCATCAAAGTAAATGGTCTCTATTTACCAAAGAAAAGAAACAGGCTGGCAGAATGCATCAAAAAACAAGAGCCAGCAATTTGATGAATTGAAGAAATAGAGTTAACTCGAAAATAAATTCAAATAAAATAACATGGAAAATATAGAAGAAATGGATAGATATTTAGATATGTATGAGTTAACAAAACTGAATCAAGGAGCTATAAAAATTTTAAATAAACTAAGATCAGTCAATGAAATTTAAGAAGGAACAAAAATCATACCGACAAAAAAATGTCCAGTTCCTGATGGAGTCACTGATAAATTCTACAAGAAGTTTAGAGAACTAATAACACTATTAGTGAAACTCTTTAATGAAATTGAAAGGAAAGCAAGATTCCTAAAGTCTTTCCTGAAAGCAAGTAATATTCTGACAACAAAACAAGAGAATGAACCAACCAAAAACAAAAAGAGAAAGAGAGAACTACAGGTCAATCATCCATAGGTGCAAAATCCTCAGTAAGATACTGGCAAACAAAATGTAGCAAAACATCAAGAAAATTATTCACCACAAACAATGAGGATTCATCCCAGGGATGCAGAAATGGTTCAATATATGCAAATCAATAAATGAAATATACCATATTAGCAGAGAAAAGGGCAAAAAATCATATGATCATCTTAATACATGCAGAAAAAGTGTTTGACAAAGTACAACACCCATTCATGATAAAAATCCTACAGAAAATTTAGTTAGATTGTTTTCATTATTATTGTTTTTATCAGATTTAGATCTGATACAAGTCATCTATGGCTAACCAACAGCCAACACCATACTAAATTGAGTAAAACTTATAAGATAAGCATGTACACGATCACCACTGTTATTCTATATAGTCTCCTGGAGTTGCTTCATTACTTCAGTTGCTATCATTTTAGAAATTTCAGGTGTGTGCCTTTCAATTTCTTCTATATTGATGTCTCTTGGACTTGTTCTGGAAGGGCTGGAGGTCTGAGCTTGCATTTTGCTCCTTTGTCTTGATATTTTCTATTTCCAAAAGAAATTTTTGTTCTGTTTTCTGTTATGATACTTATGAGTTTAGGTAGTAGGTAGGTATTTCACTGGTATTTAGCCCTCTCTAGGCAAAGTCTGTTCTTCAGGGCTATCTTCTGTGTGTCAGAGATTCTTAACTTCTATATGTCTCAAGATCCTACCTTCCTGATTAATTGAGTGTGGGATGTTGATTGCTGTTTGATTGCTGTTTGGCTCTGTCCTCAGTCTTTAGGTATAGGGTTGTGGTGAGGTTATTACCTTACAGCTTCCCAAAGAGAACAAGTGGTTACAAGAGATATGATACCCTAGCTACAGTAGAACAATTAGAAACAATGATAGCATGAAGAAAATCTTGGAAATTGACAGAATATGGTAACTATTGATTTTGTACTTAAGACCATAGAAGCAAAGTCTATATTTAAGTAACAAAACCAGTCATAAATTAGGAGATTGTATACAAGTGTTTCCCTTTTTTATAGTGGATTTACCCTGGGTTCCTCTGGCTGAGCTGGTATCTAGGTCCCAGGCTCTTCCTGCCATGCAGGGTGATGAGCCAGGCACCAAGTTCCTTTGGCCAAGCTTGTTGTTGAATCCCCGGTGCTTCCTGTGCTGGCTGCCCTTACTGTGGTGCAGGGAGATGGGTCAAGCACCTGGATTTCTCTGGCCAAACTGGTTGCTGAGTCTCAGGTGTTTCCCGCAGTGTAGCTGGATGGGTCAGGCATCTGGATTCCTCTGGCCAAACCAGTTGCTAAGCCATAGGCACTTCCTGCGCTATCTGACCTTCCTATGGTGTAGGACGATGGGCCAGGCATCTGGGTTACTCTGGCCATTCTAGTTGCTGAGTCCCAGGCACTTCTTGTGGTGTAGGGGGATGGACCAGGCACCAGGTTCCTCTGGCTAAGACAGTTGTTGAGTCCTGGGTGCTTCCTGCACTGTCTCACTTGAGGTGTTTTTAAATGTGCTTTTCTTTGTCTATTTAAATCTGCTGCTAAACTTCTTTAGTAAAATTTTTATTTCAATTCTTGTACTTTTCAATTCTGAAATTTCTGTGTAATTTTTTTCAGTAACTTCTATTGCACTATATTCGCAATTTGTTGAGATATAATTATCCTTGTTTCCTTTAGATTTTTTTCCATAGTTTTCCTTTCTCTAACTATATTTAGGACAATTAAAATATTGACTAATATATTCAGTGACTTTGAGTCTCAGAAACCGTTTTATTAATTAATTTTTTCATTTGATTTACTTAGTTTCATGATTTATATTTATTTGTTGAAGTTTCTACTTTCAGTTTTTGGTACACACAACATTCTTTGTTGGCACTTCAAGTCTTTGTTTCTTTCGTGGTTGGCCAATAGCCTAACATTTTGAGTTTTATAATAGGATCTTTGAAAATAAAATTCTTGGATTGGAAGTGTAGTTTGGTGTATGAAGTGCTTGTCTTGTCTGGCATCCATGAAGCCCTGGGTTCAATCTCCAATGCTGGGGAAAGAAATAAAGAGAATTAAATTCTTTCTACTTTCCTGGATTGACTGTTGTTGGGTGTTTTATACTGGAGTACTCCATTTATTTTCAGTGACTTTTTAAATACAGATTTTGTAAGGACTGTACTTCTTATGTGTTATTAATGAAATTTGTATTTCATTATCTTATGAATTTGCCAGAAGTGTTGTCAAAAAGTTTCCTTTAAATATGTAGAAAAGATAACAAGAAAGAAGAATGAAAATAAGACAAGATAGAGAAGAAATTTCTCTCAGCCTTTCAAGACTGGATCTGTGTTGTGGCACTTCTTATAGTTTAGCCATGTGCTTTCAACTCTGTGTTTGCATTTACCTCTTGTTAGTATAGAATGTGAGCAATCATCAGGTAAGGTTGAAAGAAGACATTTCACTAAGCCCTGGTCACCCATGTATTATTGTACATATTCTGCCATATTTGGAAACTTTTGAATATCTCACTCCTTGATTTTCCTCCAGACTTTTAGTGTGCCAATTCCTTGATTAAAGTGTCTCTCTTTGCTTATGTGGTAGCAGATTCTTATGTGTCTTTTAGTGTTTCCATTACATTTACTCCCTGTTAGAATTTCTGCTTAGGTTAAAAAGAAGTCTTTTGGTTTTATTCTTTTGTGAACTTTCAAGTCCAAACATACAGACAAAAAGACAATTAAATATTTCTTATGAGTAAGATCTGCTCTGCTATTTCATATAGGAGACAGTCACAATGGAACCTGAGTTACAGTTTTGAAGGCTACTACTATGCCTGGGAGAGGGAGGAAGCAAGAGTCAACTCTAATGCAACAAATATTTTCTGCCATTTAAAAATTATCTTTCTTTAGGGTAAGTGTTGGCCTGATTGCTTTAGACCTTTAACTATCTCTTTAACTTCTGTTAAGCTTGGTTTGGAGAGGTTTTGCTGGAATTTTCAGCATTTCTGAGGAGAATCTGATCTGAGTTTCCTACTTTGCCATTATCCCTGATCTTACCTATACCAACATTTCTCACTGTGGTTAATTTTGTATTTTCAAGAAGAAAAGAAATAACTCTAGTTCTTAGATCTTTTAGTATAACACAGATCATGTCCACTACAGGGAAATGTACTCATTCATGCATAACAAAATTTGGATCTAAAAAGATCCCAGAGGTTTCACTGGTTTGAAAGTGATTTGATTTGGGGAACAGTGTAGTTGACTCATGACATGGAATCTTGTCAGCAGAGGTGGATCACTGGGAGTGATACCTGAAAATATGTGGCAAACTCCCCTAGTCCTTTCTTATTTCTCTGATCTCTTGTCACATTTATGTGAACAACTTTACAAAGTCCTTCCACCTTGCCATTTCTGTGTGTAAGCCTGCCAACCATGAACTGAAACTTCTGAAACTGAGCCAAAGTACACCTCTCCTCCTTTAAATTGTGACTTGCAAGTAACTTCTCAATCAGTGATGAGAAAGTGACTATAACAAAGCCTGGATAAATAATAAAGCAAGTCAAGGTTAAAGGAGATAATACAAGTTATCTAATCAGGGAAAGTGATTTTCTTCAGGTTTCTCTTTTATTTTGTAGAATGATTAAGGATAAAACCCACATTCTTGTAGTTCAACACCTTCTCACATGCAGTCCTGAAGAGAAAGTTGATATTGAATATTTACTAGTACTTACTTTCTAATTTCAAGTTTAGTCTCTTCTTACTGACATGAAGTCTCAAAATCAGTGCATATCACTGATCTTGAAAGAAGAAGAAGCCAGGAGGAAGCCTCACTATGTAAGCACATGCTAAGCAAATCCGCAGCATTGCAGTGAAAAAGAAAGGAAGGAAGGAAGGTATATTTTGCTTCCTTTTATGCACATAAAAATTGTAAAGGAATAAAGCTCTAATATTTCTTTGTACATCATCTTAAAGTTATGTTGTCCTTTAAATTCCTTCAGATTCACTTCTTGCATATTGTTTTCTAGTACTGATCCAAAACCAAACCTAGAAAACAATATGTATGTATGTCTACAGGAGAGGAAAATGTAATAGTGATAGCATTCTCTAATAGACGAGCTACTTGAGAAATGTTAGGGCACACAAAACCTAATATAATTTATTGCTTAGGAAAATGTAAAAGGATATTCCATGTGAACTGAATAACCTGGAAACAGTTGAGATTTTAGAATGGAGAAAATACAAGTGCAGCCAGCCTGCATGGCCTGAGAATCCTTCAGTCTTCCTAGTATTCAAGGATTTAAGTCAACCCCTTTATAAGAAGAGAATGCAGAGTCACCCCCCAGTGCCTTTACAACTACAAATGTCCAGCAATTTTTTTTAATGTTTTCTAATTTGGTAATTATTGTTTCTCTTTGTGAACCATTTTAATGAAAAATTGGATTTCTGTACTTCTCATATCCAAGGTTGATGTCATTCTGCCTAAAAATACTTAGTTCCACCCCAAAGCTAGAATTTTGTGGAGTAAATGTTTTTCCTGTTCTTCGCCTCATAAAGTTTCTCGATGATCTCTGCAGGCAGCTTTTTAACCTGACTCAATCCCCACTGTTTTACTCCAGCATAGTTTCCCAGCTGGAGACTATTTCATGTTGAAGAGACGGTGATATATTTTTAAAAGTTTGTAAAAGGCCTAAAGGGAAACAAAGGCTTTCCATTCACTTTAATTGCTTATAGCATACTTGAAATTTTATCTGGAAGGAAAAATAAATCCCAAACATCAAGTTTTGTGGTTTTACAGGGCTGTTCAAGCTTGAAGTCATTAAGAAATATATTCAGCATTAACAATAAATCAATTGAAATACAGGCAACTATTATGAGTGCTTTCTCTTTCTTACTGGATAGTGGCCTGGGGATAGGTGTCACAGAATCATTATTCTAAAAAGAAAAATAATATTTTATTAATAAAATAAGAGTTGACATCTTCCATTTAAAGACTTTTGGTTACCTTATTAGGGGAAGAAGCACTCAAAATGGATATATGTGTGTGTGTATGTGTTAAGTGATTTGTCCCAGGTGTGATGGAAAAGATTCAGACCCGGCTTTGGTTTTGCCCATGTCAATTTTTTTTTTGCCCAACCCTCAGGCAGCACTCATATCATATATAGAGGAGGTGTGGGCCAATACCCAGCACATGGATTTCCAGAAAGCATATTCCTGTTCTTTCCCCTTAACCAGTTACTTAACCTGCCATGTTTTCTCCAATGTTCTCTCTCAGCTTTCAAGAAAAGCAGTGATATATAAGGCAAATTAAAGCTCAAAATTTTTGATAACTCCAAACATTTTGGTGTAGTTGAAAAAAGCCAGGTTTTGTTTAAAATTTTAAAACAAGGTATTATGGCATTACTTCATACTGTGACATAATTTGGAAGAGCTAAATTTGATAGTAGGGCTGGAAGATTTTTAAATCTTCCTTCCCACTAAAATACATATGAGAATATGAAGGATTTAGTAAATGTATTAAGGGTCAAACTACAAGTAGAAGATTGGATGAAGAGTTATAATGATTGATATATGTTCCTATAAATATAGATAAGGGCATTATGAATCCCTGTACGGTCATTTATTCCATTTTCAAACTCAGATACTGGTTTTTCTTGTCTATTTTTGTGTGTTATGCTTTCATCTCAAGCTTCAAAAGTATATTAATAAATAAAATCCCCTTGAGTTTTACAAGAATGTTGAACTTCTGTGATTTTGTCTTTCACGTCAGGAATCCATGTTTCTTCTGATAATACCTGTACAGCAAGCAGAAAGCAGAAATTGTTGCTTTCTAACTGAAATTTAAACAGAAAGTAAATTTAAAAATATTGTTTTCATCATTACTGGGAAACTGTTTTGCTAAATTTGGAGCTTTTTAGTGTCCTTATCAGTGATTTGAACAAAAACAGTAAGTGCAGATCTGGTGGAATTGCCGCTTACCACTCTGTTTCCATTATCTACAATCCCTGATGTAAATTATCAATGTATTTCCTGAACACTGGTCATAAGTCTATTGTTGATGTAGTGAAATTTTGTGCATGAAATAACTGTATTATCTGGATGACCATGCCACCACGTGTCTTGGACTTGGTGTCTTTCTCTTCATGTTAGCTTACATCAGAATCAGCACCATCTTGTGTTTTTTGTTGACTCTTAATAAAGACAAGCCTTAGAAATAGATTATTGTTTCAGGAATACTGGTTTCTTTTGCATTTTTTTTTCAGAACTCTTATTGTTTTTATTTAGATCTCTAAAACTATAGCCCAGAGAAAGACACACAACAGGAGGTTGAGCAGGGAATCCACATCCTCCCTTCCTCACTCTATCTCAGTGGGGCACAATGTCCTCTGTAGGCATCCGTTGGGTTCTTGCTGTATCCCGGGAAGGAATGGCAGTGAGAATGAGGAAAAAATTAGACAAGAGACAAAAAGCTGGGATCAAGTGGAGGTCCTCTCTTTCTGTGAAGAAGGGGAACTACTCAAGAACAGTAGAGCATTTATTTATACCCTCAAGGGGTTGGTTAATTTTCGCCTCACTGTTCAGCAATCAGTTAACAAGCTACATCGACTTGTTTACCTGCTTCAAGGAGCTCCCGTGTTCTCGGGCTGGCTTCGTCCTGCACGTGTAATTACTTTCCATCTTTCACTGCTCCAGACAGTCATCAGTGTATTTTTCATTGTCACAATGAGGACAACGTCACTACTGTCATGGGGATGGGGTGACAGGAAAATATGCTAGCATCAAAACGTTCGCTATTCCATGGAGCTCCCGAACACATTGTGTATATTTGTTTATGTGAAAACAGGTCCATAGATATATAATAGTAAAACTCATTTCTGTATAACATTAAACTTATACTCTTTCCATAATTTTAATATTTATGGAATTCTTCCAGGAATATTATGCTTTGAAATAGATGAAATAATGTATTTCATTTTTGTTGGTTTTACTTTTTGTTTTGTTTTCGGTACTGGAGATTGAACTCAGGGCCTCACAATTATATCTTTTTTTCTTTTAATAAAAGTTGTTTATCATTTAGCAAAGAATGACATCATGGATAGAAATACCATTCTTGGGTACTGGAGTCATCAAAGTAACCATCCATTGGAAATTAGTTAATATTAATTTTATAATTAATTAAATTAGAATATTATTTATAGATTATTCTATAATAAATCACATTATATAATAGAATATTAGTATATAGGAACAAGCCTATGGTTATTAAATTTTCTTATGTTGCATTGTCAAACTGTTTTCATGTCATTAAGTAATAATTATGAGAAATAAAAGTTTTCTTCTGTACTTTATTGTTAGGATATTTTACATATTTTAAGTGATATGAGTACGTACTTAAAACTTCTTGTGAATTCCCTTAGAAATCCAAAAGAAGCTTTATATCATAAAGTTATAAAAAATGACACTGGATTTGCTAGGAACTGAATATTGTATATATATCATATGAAGAAGTTAGTTTGGAAGAATAAAAGGTAAAATAGGAAGTGTTTTATCGTCTAGTGTTGGGTTTACATTACAATACTTGATTTTAAAAGACCCAAAGTCAATCAGAACAAAGACAAATTGCCACTCAGACTCAGCCAGAACTGGGTGCAGAAGGAGTTTGAAGTGATTGATTGGCTAGTTCATAGATGTCCCTTCTGAGAACAAGCAAAGAATGAAGATTAAGGTAGGGGGCTCTGAGGGAGCTGTGAGCTGAGCGGAAGAGGGAGTGCAAGCCCCGGTGGGAGGCAGGAAGGGGTGCTACTTGGATAATTCCTGACACGCACAGAGGCTTGTGGTCCTTACCTGCCAGGGTAAACATTTAAGTCCCAAAGCTCCATACCCAGCATCCAAAGTGCACAGTGGTAGAATGCGAGTTCTAAAGTGCTTGGCCTGTATGCAAAGGAAATCTAACTAATGAGGTTGCCCTGCTCTGAGCACCCATCTATTGCTTTTCCATCTTTCCTTGCATATGTTTTCTATGAACTCTTGATTTTCAGCCACCTCTCTGAATTATTGACCCTCTACATGGTGTTCCCTTTAGGTCCTTTGATTTTTACCTAGATGTGCAATGCTTGAGCTCATTTTTATTGCATTTTCCAATACCAATGTGTATCAGATAGGTTTCTCTCTGAAAGTATTATTTTTGAGTATGAGGGATCTGTGGAGGCCTAAATCTCTGTGTGTTGAACTTCCACCTAGCTGACTTTCATTTCAAGTATCGTCGTCTACTACTGACCCAATTTTCCCTTTTCTTTTTTTAACAATGCCTTAGATCAGAGGCTACCACACAAACATGGATGTCAAAATAGAACTTTTGAGAGATGAACTACCCTTTCAAGTTGTTTAGGTATCATTTAGCTGATGGCTGTATTACTGCAATAAACTTAAAAATTTGTTTTATTCTTGAACCCTGGAACCAATATATGAAGCCCATGGAAAGTTCCTAACAGAAGATGTTGTCTAAGCACTAGTGACGTTCACCATAAAATGAGAACACTGAACTCTGACAAGCTCTGACATACTTTTCTTTAAAGATTAGATATCAAATATTTTAGGCATTGTGAGCCAGAGAGTGTTCCTCAGCACCACTCAATACTAACACTGTGTGCACAGCAGCCTGAGGCAATGCATGTGGCTGAGTATGAAGAGGGATATGAATATTCATATGACCACTTTCCAATAAAACATTAATAAAAATAGGTGCCAGGCTAGTTTATTTACTTTTTTTTTTTTTTTTTTTTTTTGTCATGCTGGTGATTGGACCCAGGGCTTAGGCATACAATGCAAGAATGCTACCGCTTAGCCACATGCCCAGCCCCCAGGTGAACTGGTTTTGAACCACTGGGTGTAGTTGTTAATTACATTGGCAATAATATATAGTTTGTTATTATACTGGCCAAACTTTATGGCTCAGTGAGTTAATTTGAAATTAAAAGTGTTTTATTATTTTTTGCTTTTCTGTAGTCTGTGCCTATAGTGTGATGTTTCCAATGTAAAATTTCCATTTAGCTAACCAAATCCAAGCTCATATAGGATAGTTTTCAATGTATAATATTTTGTTTACTCTGTAAAATACCCATATAAAAATTAAGCCCTGTACAAAATGTACAGCCAGCAATATGAATAATAAATCAATTTCTTAGTTACTTTTTCCATTGCTGAGACAAAATAACCAACACCCAAAGATAAAAGGATGAAAGGTTTATTTCAGTTCATTGTTTATGGAGGTTTCAGTGCATAGTTGGCTGGCTCTTAGGCAGGGTAGCATGGAGAGGGGCATCACAGAGGAGAAACAGTCCATGGCAAAGCAGGGCAGGCAGAAGGCAGCCAGCCGTGAAACAGTAATCAGAAAGTGACAATAGTAACTTCCTTCTGTCTCTTCTATATTCTGTTTAGCCTGTCTGGTTTTACGTGGTGGCTAAAACGATGGATGGAGTAAATTAGTAATCACACACCTTTAATACATTGCCCTTAATGGTAGCATTGCTCCTTGAGTCAATGCTAGCATCACACACTCTAGATCCAGCCCCCTCTGAAAAAGCTCCACCTATGAGCCATGAGGCTTTGGAGGATATATCTAGACACAAGCCAGAACAGCAATGTAAGTGATAATGCTTAAAATAGGTGTGTATCAAAATATGTTGCTGTAAGGGGGTATCCTTTTTTTCTGGTCTTTTTGTTAACTGCTGAAGATAGTTTAATTAGTTAAATTGCACAATTAAAATATCCTTTGCCAGGAAATGAGAGCTCATTAAAAACTGTCAATGCTCCTCACAAGTAAAGGAATGCAGTCATTAAAAATATGGAGCCAATGAAAATATAGTATAGGGAGGATATTGTATTGGTTTATTCTTGATTGGGACGCGATATTCAGTATTCATAATTTAAAGCAGGAGGGTTTTAATTTGCTTCACAGTTTCAGAGATTCATAAGATTGTTGGCTGCCTCCTAGGGGGAAACATCATGGTAGAAAGGGCCTGACAGGACAGAGAGGCCCTGTGAGCAGAGCAAGGAAACAGTGCTAAACAGGAAGGGGCGGGGGTTCTCCACGACCCACCTAGACACACCAGAAACGTGTTCCTCCCGTGCCTTGGGCAGACACCAAAGCCGGTGAACTTGATACTCCACATTAACTTCACAGGTATTTGCCTTATTACTGGTGTTAGCATTATTTATTGCTCTAGTTTAGATCGAGTTGTGTCTTTCTCAACAAAAATGGCTCCCTAATTCTTTGGACATTTATCAAAAGTTTCCTCATGGCAGGATGAGGGTATTATCATCCAAATTAAAATAACAATGTGAAACATTTACTTACTTATATGGGTTTTCATTTTCATTTAACATATTTTTATATGACTTCTTTTGAAATTTTGCTCAGATTACCTTTGGTTTATGGTTGTTTTATTTTAAAGAGAAAAAATCAAGAAAAAATAACAACAATGAAGTTTATGTTAACCTAAGAAATTTAAAAGTCTTGCACAATTTTAAAGGTAGTATTAAGGAGAATGAATTTCCCTCTGGAGAGGGAAAACCTTGACAGAAATTCTGAAGATCCTTGTTCACCTTCATTTATCTCAAAAGAAAGAAACCTCTCATTACTCAGAAAAGACTTACAATTTTTTGTTCCTTTTTTATATTTCCACTCTATCAAATTATGTATTTTATTCACTGACCCATTTAAAAAACCTTAATCAGGACTTTTTACACAAAAGACATTTATACAGAGGTAAGCAGACTTGAGTTTTTCCTTCTGGAGTTTCTAGGCAGATAAGAGAGTAAATAAGTGCAGAGAAAGAAATATCTATTTTGAATATATCCAATTACATGAGCAAAGACAACAGAATACTGGACAGAATGACATGAATTGCAAATGTCCAAAGAAATACCATAACATGCTCTTGTTTATATGTATGTGCATACTCTGGTTGAAAAATGTCATTCACATAGAATTGAAAGTGATCACTATGTTTGTGCTATCTTTCTTCTTCAGTGAAGGAAGAATAGCATGTGATGGGAGATAGTGAAAAATTGGGGAATGAAAGAAAAATTTGTGTATATGTTCATCAGAAAAGCTCTTTCTGAGGAGCTGACATTTAATATAAGGAAAAGAGGAAAAGGAGCCTCCCATCTTGTAGCACAGAATGTGTTTTCCAGGCAGATAGTGAAGAAAAAATCAAGGCCATAAAGTTGGAAAGGGCAGTATGTCAACAAAGAATTTTTTTTGAGAAAATTTTTGATACCGGGAATGGAGCTCAGAGCCTTTGAATTAATCTATGTCTGTAATCTTTTTTTTTTAATTTTGAGTTAGGGTTGCCTTAAGTGGTTGAGTTGTCTAGATTAGGCTTTGAAATCAGGATTCTCCTGCCTGAGACTCTGAGAGGACTAGGATTAGAGGTGTACGCTACCTGTGTGATTGAAGCTAATACATTACATGTGGTGATGAAGTAAGAATCCTTAGTGACTTTAAATTACAGTGAAGATTTTCGGTTTCATTAGAGCAAAGAGAAAGAGTTGGAGACATGTTTGTGTGATCCGATACATGTTTTCAGAACCCTTTCAAGTTGTTAGGAGTATTGAGAAGAGACGATTTAGGAAGTTATTTCTTAGGTAATGATTGTGTAATAGACATAACAAGAAAAGAAATCTAAAAT